TATAATTTTAAGTTATACAACTCATTTTCCTCTTGGGGACATGAACAGTTCATTTTCCATCAGGGAAATGAATCAGTGATTCCCAAATGAGATGCCCTCGGGGTCTTTTGAAGGTTTTGTGCATGTACTGATGTGCACAGGCCCCTCATGGCAGCAAATGATTTTAAAAAGTCCTGGACAAAGTCCCTTTCCATTCATAGTGCTTTCCCCAAATAAATGTTTTATCTCTCCATGGTATTTGAAGATCATAGTCTAAAAAAAAATGAATTATGTCCATCCAACCTAACTGTTGGCTTATTACACATACTTAACATCTCCTAATTCCAAAACTCTTGCTGGAATGATTAGAAGGAAAATGAAAGGAAACCCCTGGGATCAAAAGAATTCCCCTTCCAGGAATGTTACTAGGAAACAACTACTAACTCTGGACATGATATAAAAAAAACTCCCTGAAGCCCTGGAGAGTGAACAAATACAGGTGGAAACTGTAAAGAGTGGTACTTGGAGGAGGGGAATGGCTTTCTAGTTAAAAATCCAGATATCTAACTCACCCCTACATTACACAACATGGATCACAGTCCTACAGCCCAGCCAAGGGAAAAGAAACACAGGACATTTCAGTTGCTGCTGGACTGCAGGAAAGATAGAATTTGCAGTTTTCCTTTAGTTACGTTATCTGACTAAAAGTAAATAAATAACACTAAATTTAACATAATCCAGAGTCTGTGCAATATAACACTGAATAGCCAAGGAATAATTTAAAATTACTAAAGTAAAAGAAATAGGAAAAACTTACCCACAGTCAAGAGAAAACACAATCAATGCAGAGTGACCCTGAGAAGATTCATACCCTGGATTTAGTACACAAGGACTTTAAAGCAGCAATTATGACTAAACTTAAGAGTGTAAAATAAAAAATGTAATGTTCTGTAATGAACATTTATTGAATTGAAAAAATTAAGAGTAAATTCTTGGCAGAGCCTATTTAAAAGAAACTCTTTAAAAGGACCAAATACAAATCCTAAAATGGACAAATATACTAAATAAAAGCTTTACTGTCCAAGCTTAATGACTGACTGGAAATGACAGAGAGTCAGTGAATTTGAAGACAGAGCAATAGAAATGATCCAATATAAAGAATAAGGAGGGAAAACACATTTAAAAATAGACCTCTAAGGATCTAAAGTATTATATTGGAAGTTACAATACATATAATTAGAACTCCAAATGGAGAAGAGAGGATAGAACAGAAAAATGTTAGAATGAACAATGGTCAAAATGCCCCAAATTTGGTGAAAGGCATAAAGTTAGAGATGCAAGAGGCCCAACAAACTCCATGTAGCACAAATAGTAATAAGAACACATGTGGAGGACTTCTCCTTCCAGGAAAATGGAGATGTGTTTTCCTTATTCTTCCCACTAAATTCAACTAGAAACCCTGGATATTACATACAAAATAAATATAGGACGAGTCTGAAAAGTAGAATGAAGATGGCAGAAACAGGCCGTAGGATGTTGGGGCCCCAGGGATGACCCAGGGTGGGGGTCTCTGGCTTTCTTCTTGCCTTCTAAATCCCGGGCTTGGAGAAGACAAAACTAGCAGTCTGGGACTACCAATGGGCATGGGAAAAAAACAGTGACAACAACAGAAACCTGTGCTCTCTCTAGCCAAAGGATCAACAAAAGGTCAGCCTATCAAGACAGAAAATGTTCCCAGAACCAATATCTATATTAGTCAGTGTTTTCCAGAGAAATGGAACCAATAGGAGACCATATATATGTATATATATAATACATGTAATTTATTAATAAGGAGTTGGCTCCTGCAGAAGGCCGAGAAGTCCCATGATCTTCAGTGAGAAAGCTGAAGATGCAGGAGAAGCTGTAGTGCCAATCTGAGAACTGGCTGCCTGAATGCCCAAGAGGAGGGGATATTTCATTTTGAATCCAAAGGCAGGAAAAGACCAATGTTCCTGCTCAAGACAGTCAGGCAAGAGGAGCTTCCTCTCACTCACGGGAAGGTCAGCCTTTTTATTCTATTCAGAACTTCAACTGACTGAATGAGGCCCACCTACATTACAGAAGACAATCTGCTTTACCCAGTCTTCTAATTTAGATGCAAATCTTATTCCAAAACAACCTCACGGACACCCCCAAAATAATGTTTGTTGAAATATCTGGGCACACCATGACCCAGTCAATACACACAATTTACCTTCAGAGCACTGAAAAATACAATAACCATAATAAACATCTTAATGTATAAGTTCATAAACAGGGTGGGGTGGAGCAGGGGAGAAAGGAAAGAATCAGTAAACTTAAAAATCATTCTGTACCCACATAACTATTCTGTTTTTCACTTTCAGTACAGTATTCAATCAATTACATGATATATTAAACATTTTATTACAACAGGTTTTTGCCCAACTGAAGGGTAATGTAAGTGTCCTGAGCACATTTAAGATAGGCTAGGTTAGTCTATGATGTTTAGTAAGTTAGATGTATTAAATGTATTTTCAATTTACAATATTTTCAGCTTATGATGTGTTTATCAGGACATAATCCTATCACAAGGGGAGGAAAATCCATATACAAAAAATAGTATAAATAAATCAAGATGGAATCATAATTATTGTCCGGCTAACCCGCAGGGAGGCAGTAAAAGAAAAGAGAGAAATGAGAAACACAGAGAACAGAAAACAGAATAATAAAATAAAATACCAGATTTAAGCACTAATGCATTAATAGTTATATTGGTTGTCTATGTAAAAAATTCAAAAGAATTAATAAAAAACTCTTGGAAATAATAAGCAATTATAGCAAGTCTGCAGGATAGAAGGTTAATATACAAATGTCAATCACTTTTTAAATACCGGTAGTAAACAGGTAGAATTTGAAATAAAATACACAATAAAATTTACATTAGAATCACCCAAAATGAAGTACTTAGGTAAAAATCTAATGAAATATGTATAAGTTCTATATAAGGAAAACTACAAAACTCTGACAAAAGTCAAAGGAGAGCCAAACAAATGGAGAGCTATTCCATGTTCATGAACAAGAAAACTAAATGCTGTCAAAATGTCAGTTTTTCCTTACTTGATATATAGATTCAGTGCAATACCAATAAAAATTCCAGGAAGTTATTTTGTGGATATTGACAAACCAATTCTAAAGTTTATGTGGAAAGGCAAGAGACCATGAATAACAAGACAATATTGAAGGAGAAAAACAAAGTCAAAGTCAAAGAACTGACACTGACCACCTTTAAGATACACTATCAAGCTACAGTACTCAAGGCAGTGAGATATAGGCAAAACAATACAAAGACAGATCAGTGGCACAGAACAGAGAGTCCAAGAAAGACCCACACAAATAAAGTCAACTGACTTTTGACAAAGAAGCAAAGGCAATACAGTGCATAAAAGATAGTCTTTTCAAAACATGGTGCTGGAACAAGTAGGTATCCACATGGAGAAAAAACATGAATCTAGACACAGACCTTACACTCCTCACAAAAATTAACTCAAATGGATCACAGACCTAAATGTTAAAAGCAAGACTATAAAACTCCTAGAAAATAACAGGAGAAAATTTAGATAACCTTGGGATTTGGCTATGACATTTTACATACAACACCAGAAACATGATCCATGAAAGAAATCACTGATAAGCTAGACTTCATTAAAACTAAATACTTCTGCTCTGTGAAATACACTGCCAACTGAATGAGAAGATAAGCTATAGACTTGAAGAAAGTCTTTGCCACACTCATATCTGATAAAGAACTGGTATGAAAAAATATACAAAGAACTCTTAAACTAAATCATAATAAAATGAACAACCCAATTAAAAATGGTCAAAAGCCCTGAACAGACACTTCACCAAAGAAGTTTTACAGATCAAAACCATATGAGAAGATGTGCAGCATCATATATCATAAGGGTATTGTAAACTAAAACAAGATACCACTACATAACTATCAGAATAGCTAAATTCCAGAACACTGATAACACCAAATGCTGGTGAAGATGTGGAGCAACAGGGACCCTCATTCTTTGTTGGTGGGAATGCAACACAGAAGAGCCGCTTTGGGAGATAGTTTGTCCATTTCTTACAAAACTAAACATATTCATACGATGTGATTCAACAGTGTGCTCCTTGATATTTAACCAAAAAAGGCAAAAACTTATGTTCACACAAAAGCCTGCCCATAGATGTTTATAGCAGCTTTATTCAAGTTGCCAAAACTTGGAAGCAACCAAGGTGTCCTTTAGTAGGTGAATAGATACACTATGGAGCAACCAGACAATGGAATATTCTGCTACTCAATCTCAAGAACACATTCTTCTGCTTCAAAAATGTAAACTTCACATGCATGAGCACAAATGGATAGTATAAAGAAGGAAAGAAATAGTTGATTGGTCCCAACTCTGACTCCAAATATTTCAAAGTAAGGATGAGGCTGCAGGCCAGTGTCAACATTCTACTCTGTCTGGAATGGCTGGAATCCAGGAATTTCTACTAGACTTAGAAGAGTGTGCACCTAATGAATAGTTTATTTATCCAAGCAACACATATATCCTAATCTGTGTAAAGGGTGAGCAGTGAGAGTGAGCATGACAATATCATTGCTCTTGTGGAACATTGCAGACATGAGTTAAGACAGCAATGCCTACCATGCAATGGAAAAGCTACCGGCTGTGTGCTGGGAACTGGGTCGTCAAGGCCCCTGTGGGGGACAGGTGAACTGCAGTGTGAGAAGTGAGAACAAGAAAGACTTACCAGGTGAAGGTCTGGGGGAACACTTCCCCAGGAGCACATTCTAAATGGTGCATGCCTCTACTCGCAACTAGTCTGCAAGGACAAGGGTGTATGTACCCCGCAGCATTCTCCAGTCTTGTCATGCTTATTCTTATACAGAACCTAAATCCTGCTGAATTAATGTGGAAATAACCCCGAAAGTATGTCCTTGGTTCTTACTTGTGAAAATAACTTACAGCTGCCAAATTTCAGAGGGCATGCATGGGCGTCCATCGGGAAGTCCTCTAGTTGCATTGGGCACTCTGCAGAGATGGTCAAGCTGGAAAATAAGAGATGAAGACCTTTAAGTGATTCACTACATTCTAGCTATTTATTGAGCAACCATTATGTTGCATAAAGGCATATTAAGTACTTCACTCATTATTTTAATTACTGTCTTTGATGCAATTGTCTAAACTCTCCAAGAAAATTATATAGGTTTGCACTGAGGATGAATATCATTTAGAATAAGGCTTAAATCAAATCTACTCAGGAGTTCTGTGGCTTGCTGTGTGTGTCCATACATACATTACCACTTGTAAAGCAATTCGAGATGCCCTTAAAAATAACATATTCTTTGTTTCCCATCCTTTAGCCAGAGTAATCTAAAACCTTGCCCTGACAAAGCTGAAGATATATGTATTTTCTAAAACAGTCTATAAGCTCAAAAAATATAAATGTGGAATAAATGCCCAAACCAAATTTTCACCTGAAGCTGGCTATAGTTGTTGTGTACTGGCCTGATGTCATGAAAGCAGAATAGATGAAGTCTATTACAATAGAAATCTTCTGGTACAACTTAATTATTGTTTTTAATCCAAACCTAGTCTTCCAAATAATACCACCATCCACTACCACTGCCACCAATGACTACAACAGCAATGGTCATAATAGCTGCCATGTCTATGCCAGGCACTGTCATAGTGCCCTTTACCTGCATTACCACATCTACTCAGAAAAGCACAGTGAGATTTGTTGCTACTAACATCCCAGTTTACAAGGTAGGAAAGTGATGCCTGGATATTAAAGGATCAGGACAGTAAAGCAGAGCTCCTGAGTCCTGAAGCTGTGATCTGAGCCCAGGCGTCTGGCCCCTCTCACTGCAGTGGCTCCCAACAGGCACACCCACCACACGTCAAGTGATAATGGCTTCTGTGCATTTCCAAAGTCGCCACACTGTGGTGCTTTTATTTCTCTCCAGGAGTTACTAATTAGGTAGTGAATCTAAATTTCATTAATGAGTTAATCTTCAGTTTATTAGTTTCTTATTCTATTATTTAAAAGAAAATGAAAATGCATAAAATGAAATCAAAATATAAAACATTCACCTAAGCAGATGTTATCATTCTACTTTTAGACAAGTAATAATTCAACATGATATTAGCTCTTATGTTCCTTTCCTGTTAATACTGAATCTGGATCTTGCTTATGTGCCACAGTGAGGATCAAAATGTAGAATCATTCATTTTTGCCTTTACTATTTCCCTCTGTTAAAATAGATTAACCTTTTGCTGTTAAATTTGGCACATAATTCACACCTGATGATTGCAGATGGGAGTAGCTGATGTGTATATTCTCTAAATGAAACTAAAATATATATCAGTGCCAGGAAGATCTGTGCCCATCAAAGGAAGAAATCCTGTGCCCTGTTGCTTTGAGGGACCTCTCCCCAAGGATGGAGTGATTTTCAAAGAGTGTGAGAGCACATAGACGGGAACACCACAGAAGTCTCACACTCATGCAGGGCAATGACATTTAAAATGACATGCCACAAATGTTCACAGAAGGATATTAGGAAATACAGAAAACTGTAAAAGAGAAAACCACAAATACATTTCATTTCACTTATAATTTCACTTGGTACATTTTGTCAAGATATTTTCCTACATGTACCTGTATTTTCTTTTTGTTCTTAGTATATAAAATTCAGCCTTGTATATATACCTAACATTAGAGTGGGATATTTTCCACATTAAAATCTACATAACTATGACACTGAAAGGTGAAATATTTAGTTCTAGTATGTAGATGTCTGCATATTATGTATGTATGTATATGTTTGTGTGTGTGTATATATATATATATAATATATGTGTATTATGTATATGTATGTGGGATGTGTAGATAGATCTCCATAATTTATGTAAAAGGACTATTATTAGAGATTATGAAATGGGTAAGGTAAATGAATATTTACTTATTAGAAATAAGAAAATTAGGTTTAAAAAACACAGCCCATGAGGACGGCATTTAGCTAACACAAAGGAAAATAATATGTTATCTGGCTGTTAGTAAACTTAAGACTTTTTTTAAGTAAAGAAATAGTGGGATAGAGAACTTAAATAAGTCAAATATGTTCCAGAGAATAAAATCACAACAAACTCAGAAAGTCTAGAATTTCCTGAAGAAAGGAATTTTTAGTAGGGGAATAGGAAATGTATATAAAGCTATAATGCCAGGTCCAAAGCAATAACTATGAACATAAGCATATAAAAAAGGAGTGCTATAGAAGCTTAGAGGAGAACATGTCCAGTTGGAAGCATCAGTCTCGGTGCTGGTCATGCCTCTGTTTAGGGAGGTAAATGTAAGGAAAACACTGGCTCCATCTATGGTAGCAGCAAAAGGTGGGGTGCAGGGGCCTTTGGTGATCCTAGCTGTCTTAGCTCAGCCACAAGCACTGCACATGTCAGCCAGCACACCAGCTTTCAACAGCGTTATCGGCTCCAACCCAACATTGGGGTGCTATGGAGATGATCCTCCATGGGGGCTCTTCTCCCTGCACACTGCTGTGTCTGGTGCTCACGTCACTGGGCTGCTGCCCCAGGAAGCACTTCCCTGTTTACCTGCTCTGGAGGCTGTCTTGAAGCCAGAGCTACTGGCTGAGCTCCTGACAAGGTGGTCAGCCCCTCCTCCCCCTCACTCTGTGCTGGTACTTTGTTTTAAGCCCCATGGCCAATGGAGGCTCTGTCCCCTGGCATTTCTGTTGTTTGCCCCTACTTGTCAGAGACCCACTCATGGAAACCGGATCTCCCACGCTGGGCACACGGCCCACTCCTGTCTTTTTCTCCTTTTCCCCATGTCTTCCTCCTTTCTTGGCCAACACCATGTATTTATAAGGATGAGAAGCCTTCCTTTCTGTCTGATGGTCTCAGCTCTTATTAAAGAAAGTATCTCATGTCCTGCTCTATTCTGTCTGTTTGACCCTGAGAACTAGTTACCTTTTGAAAACCACTTTACTGACATTTAAAGATGCCGAAGAATGTACACCAAGGAGTCTTCTTTCATCATATAGTGGGGACGGGGACATTTAGGGAGGGTGCACAGAGACAGGAGGACAGAATTTAGCTGGATCTCAAAAGAATCTTTTAAAGAAAACATAATTCCAGTAAAAAACACAAAATAAAGTAATTCCACAATTACCAGACCTACAAATGCTATCATGAGAGCCTCACAGATTTCTCCCCATTTTAATAGATCTCCTTAGAATTGGAATTCCAAGCACTGAAGAAACATACTTCATCTAATGATAATGTCTCTCTTCTAAGGAATGAATGTATTATTCAAAAAGACCCCCCATAGCATATGTTTCAGCCTAAGTAAGAGAACACGTCAAAAGTGGCCTATGCTTTTTATAATACTAAAAAAAAACCTCTTAAGATAAGAGGGAAGCTTCCATTCATGGAGCCTCTGAAATGTAGAAAGCCTTGATGTGGAACCAACCTTCTTCACACAGAATTGGGATCATAGCACTTTGCGGAATGGTGGGTTTTCCTAGTTCAAAGGAGGTCACCTTTTAGAAACTCTCTCTTTTCAGACAAAGAAAATGAAGTCCAAAAGTTTAAGGAATGTGCCTATGAAAAAACTACACTGATTTACTGACAGATCCAAGAATGCACCATTTTTTTTCCCAAGGCAGAGTATCTGTTTTATTTCTAATTTCTATTAAAACATTCAAGCATTAACTTATTGGAAGATAATGTCCCATTTTTTAACATCTCAATTTTAGATTCAGGAAAAGGGCATTTTGTGAATTGAACTATTTGCTTCAATTTGGGTTTATATCATTCAACTTGAGGGCTTGGGATCCTAAACTCACCAGGCAGCTCTCTGCTTGACCAGGGGCAACTCACCATAGAGAGCACTTTAAGATGGTTAAAACAGCCAAATACTAGAGCAACTTTGCCATTAACTAACCGTGTGAATTTTCTAACCTCTCTGGTCCAGTCTTTCCATTTGAAAAAGAGAGGTAATAACAGTTGATTTTATTCTTTGAAAAAAATAGTTGATAAGTGTGAAAGGAAGGTTGGTCTCAATATTTCTACCCAATATTCTCTTCAGATCTGAGCCTCCTGGATTTACATGGAAACACTGCAAAAACAGTGCAGGTGTGGTGGTGTTAGGAAGAAAAATGTTCTTGCAAAGATGTCCAGGTCCTAATTCCCCAAGCCCCCAAACCTGAATATGTTATCTGAAGTAGCACAAGGGCTTTGCAGACATGACTAAGTTAAGGTTCCTGAGATAGAGGAGGCTATCCTGGATTATCCCAGTGGGCCCCGTTTAATCACAGTCCTGAGAGGGAAGCAGGATTATCAGTCAGAGAAGGCGATGTGATGTCAGAGGCAGAGGTCAGAATAATGTGGCCTTAAACCCAGGCGTGACGGTGGCCTCTGGAAGCTGGAAGATGCAAGGAATGGTTTCTCCCGGAGAGAATCCAGAAGGAATGAAGGAATGCAATCCTGCCCACAGACTGATTTTAGCCATGTAATACCTTTTTTGGACTTCTGACCTGCAGAACTGTCAGACAGTAAACTGGTTATGTTTTAGCCAATAAATTTGCCATAACTTGTTACAACATCTGTAAAAAAATAATTTTAAAAATTTGGTACCTGACATGGGGGTTGCTGTAGCAAATCCCTAAGATGGGAAAATGACTTTGGAATTGGGCAGTGGGCAGAGGCTGGAAGAATTTTAAGATTCATAATAGAAAAAGCCTAGACTGCCTTGAACAGACTGTTAATGGATGTTAACAGGGTGTTAATGATTCTGTAGTGAGTCCTTGCAAGGAAATGAGCAGGACGGTAGAGAAAACATACATTGTAGAGTCATAAACATACTATTGGTAGAAATATGGACATTAAAGGCTCTGCTGGTGAGGGCTTAGAGGGAAATGAGGAATATGTTATTAGAAACTGGAGGAAAGGAGGTCCTTGTTATATAGCAACAGAAAGCTTAGCTGAATTATATCTACAATTATGTGGAAAGCAGAACTTGTAAACAATT